ACCCGCAGCGCTTCGACCCCGCGCGCTTCCTGGATGAGCAGCAGTGCCTGGACCGCGACCGGGCCGGCAGCGTCCTGATCTTCTCGGCCGGCCAGCGGCGCTGCATCGGTGACCAGCTCTCCAAGCTCCAGCTCTTCCTCTTCGCCGCCCTCCTCCTCCACCAGTGCTCCTTCCACGCCAACCCTGCGGAGCACCTCACCATGGACTGCGTGCACGGGCTGGCGCTGAAGCCGCGGCCCTTCACCGTCACCGTGCGGCAGAGGCACCCCCAGCTCCTCCAGCCCTGAGCTGGGGTGGGTCCCATCTGTGCTGCACCCCCTACGGTTTGGAGCTGGGGGGGGGGTGGGGGGGTGGGGACACCCCGCTTTGCCCACAGGTGGATCTTGCCCCCCATGGGGTGAAGGGCAGCAAGTCCCCACAGCAATAAACACTTTTGACACGGGACTTGGCTCCGCTCGTTTTCTCCGGGGTGGGGGGGAGGGGCTGGCTGGAAGCATCATTCCCACCCAGGCCTCCCCCCCCACCCCGAGCTCTCCCACCCCAAAACAGGTCAAACCCACCTTCCCCACTGAGACCAGACCCCCACTTCGCCCCAGGGTGCAGCAAGGAGCGATTCGCTTCAGCTATGGTGGCAGAAGGCTGGAGGAGGAAAGTTGGGGGCTTGGGGGGGGGGAAATGCACTTCGCAACGAGAAGGAAAACCACGTGGGAGCTCAGGGAGGCTGGAGGGGTCTTGTCGATGGCGCGTAAGGACCAGTTGCTGGGGGACAGGAGGACAGCCCCATCCCTTTGAGGCCGGGAGCAAGTGTCCCTGCTCCAGTTTGGGTGTGAAAGGGGGTTCGGGAAGGTTTTAGTGGGGGGGACTCTCTCACCTCCCTCCCCCCCCAGACCTCACTGGTGGCTTGTGGCATGGGGTGGGGGGACACCTCCCTGGGGATAGAGCAACCAAGAGGTATTTCTCCTCAACAAGCCTCTGCTTGGAGCAGAAAAAGGCTTTGGGCACCCAAAAATAGGCTCTGACCACGTGCATTGTGTCTCTGCTGAAATGGGGCACGGCCCTTCCCCAAAAATCAAGCTTTTTCCCCCCAAATTCAGCTCCTGAATGACATCTGGCAGCGTGACCTGCAGCTGTAAGGAAATCCTCTTCTGAGCACAAGTCCCTCGTGCCGATGCTGCCTTGCACACCCAGCCCCAGCACGCGGCCGTACCTCATCACGGAGACATTAAAGCAGATAAAACTTACCATTTTTTTTAAGGTCCAACCAAGGCGAATAGAGTCAGCTTTACAGCAGGGTGTCTTCGGCTTTATCTAGTCCCCAAAAGGGAGGGCACAAAGAGCCACACAAGTTAAAGCCACGCTTATCTTCGTGCCACCAGCCTGTGGCCACCCTGAGGAACTTCAGAGACTGGCACAAATCCCCTCCCAACAAGAATTTACCAAAAGGCAATCTCCTTCAGAGGCTTTACCAATCGGTAAGGCTGGATTTATGGGTTCTTTGGGGGCAAAGGCAGCAGAAACAAGTTGCCACCTGCCTATGCTGGTGTTTGCTCTCACCAGGAAAAGGCTGGTCCTAAAACCCACATTGGGCTTTGCCACAACACCCAAAGTCAGTTGGGTGGCAGCTGCCTTCCGCCTCTCGACTTCGTTTGACCCGTCGGAACACTGTCCCAGGAATGTTCTGTGTTGGGGCGTGTTCCAACCACCCCCTTGCCAGCTCCTTGGGTGCAAACTGACGGTGCAAATGCACGAATTAAATCCTCACTGGCCCCATGAATAGCACGAGGAGGATCTGGAACTCCTCCAATGTGTAGCGTAGAAATTATGTCACGGTCACGTCCCGCTGAGCATCCGGGCTGGTCAACCTTATTTATGGCTACACTAAAGCAGAGGAATGAAGATGGGAACAACCCCAGGGCCTCAGCCCTCCTCTTCAAGGCATCTCAGAGCACGAGGACACCTCCAAGGCCATCTCACACCCCAGTGCTACCAGTGGCACCAGTATGACCATGACACCCCTGGTCAACAGAAGCAACACTCCCACCGTAACCCGCAGGGAACCGGCGCAAAGCGAAGGCAGCAACTGCCCTTTGAGTGGAAACCCCGAGCTGGGACTCCGATCCCTGGGGCTCTGTGTAAACCCACCTGCACGTTGAGGGTGTTTTCCTCCCCTTTCTTGGCTCTCAACCACCAAAAAAAAAAAAAAATAGATGAGGCGGCCGCTGCTCTTCGGGAGCTGGTGGATGCTGAGAAAGATCGCTCGGCTTGTCCTTGTCGCTGTATTCTTCTTGTCTCGCCTGCGGCTGACACGGAGCCCACCAGGGACACGGTGTGGGGGCCCCCCTCTGCCATAAAAACGGGACACCCCCGTGCTCTTTACAGAACGGAGGCTGAGGAGGGGGAAGAGGTGCTGGGCTGGCCGGGGAGCACCGTGACGCCTCTGCGCTTGGCCCAGGCGCAGCTCAGCAGCCACGGGAGCATCCCGGCCGGCTCGCCTCTGCCCCTCCGGACCCTGCCCTGCCCCACGGCGGCTGAGTCGGGCTCTCCCAGCCCCAGGGGCGAAGGTTCAGGTGTTGGCGTCGGCTACGGCACCGACATGCTGCCGTGCACGAGGCGGCGGCAGCGCGCAGAGCGTGCGGCCACGGCTCCTCTTTCCACAGCCGCAGGAAGAATTTGCTTCCAACACTCACTTGAATGATTATGCAATGTTTTGACCACCTCATTTCTCATGTTTAAGGACAGACACTGCCAGGAAATATGATTTTTTTTTTTTTTTTTTTTTTTTTTTTTTACTATGGAAGCAGGATGCTGGGAAATGCGTTGTGTATTTACAGTCCCCTGGGTCCCAACTCCTTCCCGCTCCTCGCCCGCGCTGGCAGCCGTCTTCGCACGCAGGCAGGTACCACACCGCTCCCTCCCAGCTTCTGGGCCACCCAAACGCTGGAACACGCTCTCTGCTATTAAGCGAAAGACGCACAAGAGACCTGGCTGCAAAACTAAGCCTTTTACTAAGAGGAAAAGCAATCAGTCCATCATCAATCTTGCCTTCAAAACAGTTCACGGCAGGTATGTAAGCAACCCAGCACAGGGAGCCCGGACAAATCTGAGAGCCTCTTCCGCTTTTCATAAACAACTTAATTACCAAAACCTGATCCAAAAGGCCTTTAACTTCTACATTGCAGTCAAGCTGACATCAGGCCAGTAAATAAGCAGCTGATTTTTCTTATGGGATACATTTATAGCGACTGGACTCTCCATAGACAGAGGGCAATCCTGTATTACCTTGTCTGTCTTCAGGGTCCTGAGCCCTTCTCCGAAAAGTGAGAATTTAAATTCATCTTCTGAAGAGAACACAACCTCTGGCTACTGCAGTCATTGAGAGCATCGTGCCCGATACTGCCGTGGCTGCCTGTACATGCAAAACCAGAAGCGTGGCAGGTCTAGAGCGAGTGTTTTGTGTTCAACCTTATTCCCCCATCTCTTCCCCCCTGAATTTTGACCTCAATTTCCCTTCACAGTGAAAACATTTCCCTAAGGACAGCTTTTTCTCCGATTTTACCAAGTGTTTTGCAGACAACACTCAAATATTAGCCAAGCCAACTTAGGTAAATTTTAATTATATCAGTGTTTTCTGCTGAAAAAAACCCAACAGTGTATTTATTATAATATTCAGGGGACTTTCAGGTGAGCTTACGCTAAATAACTCCGAATAAAACAGCGACTGCTCCCTCACATCAACAAAGATTAGTCACGTAGCAGCCAGAATTGCTGTAAAAAGGAGACAGCAAGCCCATTGCTTGCAATCCTCCCACTTCAGGTTGTCTCAAACCAAGCAGGGTCTGCACAGGTCAGATTTTGCCAGGGAATTTCCAAGGAATTACAAGTGTCATTGAACCAAAGAAATCCAGGGTTAGCAGAAAGAAGCCGGGATGGGATGACTGTCCCATTCCTCGGAGGAAGCGGTGTTGACATTTCCATTCCAATACTGAGTCAGAAGTTTCCCAGCACATGGGAGAGGTGGTCACAGCTCTGGTATGCTCTTTTTATTGGAAACCAACTGCATAACTGAATTTTGTCTGCTTTTAAATCCCTATTTCTGAACAGGCTACCCTGTCCTGAGCCATGGGGTCAACGCCAGCCTCCTCTCAGAGATGTCCAAGTTGCTTAAAACCGTTTTCCCAACCGTGCTCTAAGCCACCACGCCCTCGGTCACCAAGTTAATGCTCAGGTCTTGCAAAATGTCCCTTTTAAAAGTCATTCTGAAACTTCTGATGGTCCAGGAGCCAGAGATTTACCGCTAAAGGACAGGGTACCCACAGGTCCCTCCCTGACTCGGTGTCCCCAGCGTGTCACACCTTTGGCCAAGCCAAAGAGCCCCCTGGGCCACAGGTCCCATCCTGCACAACCCCCTTTTCTGCAGGAGACCTTGGCAGGCTGCCCCTTGGACCGGCTCCTTCTCTCAGACAAATCAAAATTGTCCCTGAGGCGACCCAGTGAACCAGAGGATGCTACGATTTCACCTGGGAGACAGAAAGGACGAGGCAACAGCAGCTGCTCACAGAAGGCAGCCCGGCGTCTGCGGCCCGGGGAGGGGAAGCTGTCGGCGCGGTGGCTGGTGGTGCTCAGCCACCTTCCCCCACGCTTGTGACCGCTGGCTTCTCCCAGGGATGGGCAATTAGGGCTGTAATGCCTTAATTTAACGTAGCCAAAATTGCTCCTACCTGTTCCATCGGGCAGCCTAAACCCTCTTTCCCACTTCACTTGCTTCTTTGTACAACTACTGCACTCGAACTCCCAAACTAAGCAGAGTTTGAGGGATGCCGAAGCACAGTCAGTGTTATAATTCACTCTCTCTCCAAAGTAATTTAATATAAAATGACCCAAAAATCAGGCAGTCTAAACCACCCAGAACCAGCACGCCCCTCGCTCGTGGTTTCTGACCTGGGGAAGCTGAAGACAGCTTTCAGGATCACGAAGGTTGAGCGCAGAGTACTCACACCGGGTCACAGCTGATTATCCACCTTTATTTAAAAACAACTTCACCTGGAGTACATCATTCCCCACAAAGCGTGGCTGTATTATTTGGTGCGTTTTAAAAACATAAGCAGTAGTTGTTGTAGTGACACACAAAACCTGCTACAGGTGTAACCCACGTTATTACATATATAAACAACAATGTTGTACCTTACTTTCCCTTGATTTCCTATCGCCTTCGGCACGGCCACTGTGAGTACAAGTCCAAGGATGTTACGCAGACGACCTCCACCCGGCTGTCGGGTTCCTTCACCTACATATGCGCTGGCATAAAAAGCAAGAGAGCAACACAGGCGTCTTTCAGCAGGATGCCCTCCCCTTCTCCTTATTTATAAACACTATTTCAAACAGAACAGCACGGTGAAGAAACATGAGTTAAATAGCTTCAGTTATTTTTTAGTATCATCATTTAACCACAGGTAGGTGTGTTTTAAAATTAAGACAAGAGTAGCTCCAGGAAATTATTCCCTCGCCCTTATCTAGATGAGAGCAGGACAGAGAGTCTCTCTACCAAAATTGTACCAGGCAAATTGATTTCTTGTGGCCCTGGGATGTGTACAGTGCAGACAACTCTGAGAAATTCCCATTGTGCTCTGGAATCAGTCCGCAAAGCACATGCAAATTTTAAAAAGTCTCGATTTCCGTGTTGTCTGAAAGCTATCGGAGTGCATCCCCCCCCCGCAAACAGGAGGAGCTGCTTCCCCATCCCAGCGCGCGGCGAACCCAGAGCCTAACAGCAGACTGCGCATTTTATTGCTAAATCAAAAAATAAACCCCAAGCACGGCTGACTGGGAAGTGTTTTAGTTACACAGCCTTGCCTTATCTCCACATCAACCTGCAAGCTATGCTATTAGAATTAAATTATGTTACTTAGCCGCATTCCTCCTCTTCACAAGAAGCCAGGAAAAGGGAAAACCAAAAAAAAAAAAAAAAGGTTCTTTTGATCGTTATGTCATAAGTTCCTGGAGATCAGACTGAAGACGGCAAAATACAGCTTTTATCTGCACTTGAAAGGATCTGCGAGTTCTGTCATCGCCTTTCATCGTCGTCTTAGAGACGCATTAATTAGGTTCCGGCAGATAGAGCAGACAAGAAAAAACAACATGTGAGACACCAGCCTCCAGCCCAGCTCTCCCGGCAGGAGCTGTGCTGCCAGAGGAAAGCTCTCCTGCAAGAAACCCCGAGTGACAGACCCCTCAGCTCCAGATCCCCCCAGAAAGGGACGAGACCACACGCACAAAGGATACGCGGGAGCACAACGCCAGAGCCCGCTCTCTTGAGCCAAAACTGAAGTCTATTTAAAAAACCAAACAAAAAACCTCCACAAAACTGAAGCAGGCACAGAAAATGCACATAAAGCTTAAAGCATTCACCGACAGTCCAAAACAGAATAAATGAGGTTGAAAGGTTGCAGCCAGGTGAAACCACCTGAGGATGAACATCAAATGAGAAGAATTACCATAATTTAATTACCACCTTTTCCTCCAGGGAAGCAGGTTAGTTTTACTCAAAGACAGAAAAGGTTCTGGTCACAGCCCAACACGCCCCACACGACTGCACCAAATGCCTTCTCCCCACAGAAGAAAATGACTTCATCTTCTATTGGTAAGAAAAACAAGATTTTTGGTATCAGTTTCCAAACAGGCAGTTTAGTTTGTAATCCAAAGCCGTGTTTTTACAGCACTCTTTCAGGAGACTTTTTAACAGAAGCTGCTTGTCTGGAGAGGTGCTGCCAACCAGAACAGCACCTTGGCAATTAACAAATTAACAAAATGCTTTCCTCATGCATCCCCCTCTTAAAGACTTAACGAACACACATGGGATGAAACACTCAAACCCAAGCCAGCACAGAGACCCAAGCAGCAGATGAAAGGAACAGCAAATCAGCATTTTTTTCTCAAGACGAGAACCCCTTGTTGTTTTGAAGCAGACAAGCCCAGAAAAATCAAAGGAGAATTTAAATCCGTGAAAAAAGAGTGAAAGTTTTCTCCAGGAAATACATAATCCAAAGACTCCTCTTAACAGTTTATGTTTCGACAAGTTAAACAACAGGTGAAGGCCTGAAGGCGTCTGCAAGTCAGTAAATACGGGACTCTTGGTAGTGTAAATATTTCCTTTTCGCACTCTTCTGATTACATATGCTGAAACCATTTACTTTTGGAAGGCAGCAACACACAGAACAACAAACATTACTGCTTAATGTCACTCTGGGACTTGCTGGCAGGGAAAGGCAATGCAAGGACAGTGAACTATACGGCTGTTTGGAGAGCTGTTACCATTTCTCTCCAGAAAAACCCCTGCAAATCTCCCATGAAAGAATCAAGTTGCTGATCATCATCTTTTGGATATCACTGTTGCAGGTTTCCCAGCCTGGCTTAAGCAATCAAAAAGAAAATAGCAAAAAAACTTGTGCAAATATTTAAAGATTGGATGTTTCAGAAAAAAAAAAAAAGCGCGCCATCCACTGGGACATATTCAAACCAAGACAGATTCACACCAAGTAAAAAAAGAGGCAGCTTCATCACTCCACTGAAGAACTCAAGAGCATACATTAAATAAAAAAAGTCCCACAATTACAGATCAAGTTATCAACTCATCACAAGGGGAGCTCTGCACCAAAACACAGGGATCAACTTTAGCCTGTCAGAATTCGGTTGTCTGTTTATAAGTATCAATTCTTATCATTTCAAGCAAATAAAGCTAATTGCACACTTTCCTGGATCTCATCTCACGAGTTCAGCACCAAAATTTTAGAGACGTTTATTTGGACAAACAAAACAAAAAGCCAGAAAGTGCCAAATCCATAAAAAGGGAAGTTTTTAAGCTCAAGTTTGCTACACATTGCCACTTCAGTGTTATTTTCACAAAGTAAAAAAACCTGTGAGTTTAATACACATGTGCAAGGGACTAAAAAGGTGATTCAGAAGTGTTTGACTACTGCTCTGCCTTACTTTGCACTCCACAACCACCACACAACACGGCAAGACGCAACGAACATTACAAAATAAGCGTCCAGTTAGCTGCCAGCTGGAAAATCGAAGGGCTGTCAGGAAAGCCTGGCTAAGTGTTTGGAGAAATTTTTGACGGCAGTTTTTGCTTCACCATCTGTGTCAGTGTACAGCAGTTTACTCTCCCCGGTGCCCAGAAGCTGTCAGAGGAAATGTCAGTTGTCGGCTCCACCTTCTCGCTGTCGCCTCGGGAGGCAAGGGGAGCTGGTAGAAGAACATTACCAGCAAGCATCAGCTTTGCCACAGAATATTCCTGCTCCTGTAACCAGTGGTCCGCTTATAAATAACTACTTTTCAAGCTAAGTTATCACATCTAAACCATAGCAGCGTAGTTTAGAGGGACATAAGTTTTCAGTCTCATGTGAGCGAAGGGAGTGACATCACTGGGAGGAAGCCCTAAAGTTTAAAATCTTATCACTCACTTTTCTGACAAAAGCAATGCACCTCTTAAAAAATAAAGTTTGTATTGTGTAGGAAATCTCATTGGTCCCCTGGTAATAACTCACCGCAGTGAGCAGTGCTGGCTTCCCCCCACGGCAGCTCAGGCAGAGCTGGGAAGGGCAGAGCGGGTTTCGGACACCACCATCAGTTGTCTCACAGCAGGGAGGAAAGGGCTGACAACTGGCTTATTTTAAGTCACGGCTGTCTTCTCTTTTTTGTAAGTGTCTTCTCTTAAGTCACAGCTTCAGCGCCCGTTTGACTGACCGGGCTGAGGGCAGTGAGAACATCCTGCTGCCTCCAGCGCGTCGCGCTGGTAAAAATCAGCAGCACCCCGACCGCCGAGCACAGCGGCTCGGGATGTGATCGCAGCTAAACATCCAGGAAAGGCATCAGTTACTTCAGCTGAGGCTAGTACGACGTATTATTAAGGAAAAGAGAAAACAGCTAATCTGAAAAAAATGGTGGCTGAAGACTTCCTCGGGAATTGGTTGAGAGCTCACCAGCAAGCAGGGCTGAAGTTCAAGTTGCTAGACAGGTAGAGGTTGTGATATAAAATCTATATGTGTAGATATAAATATATATCCTTATATATTTATTTATACATATAAATATATAAAGATATAAAGATATATAAATATATATATTATATCACAAAGTATCTATCTCGCATATATCTATGATATATAATCACAAATATTTTTATATCACAAATTCTACCTATACACCCTCCTCCCCCCACACCCCCCACCTGTTTTTAGGAATTTTACATTTTCTAGGAATTTTAAAATCAAACATATGCAGTGCTGTAAGACGGAAAATAATACAAAATTTTATCTGATTAAATCCCACCAAGATCTTTCCCTGGGTGTGCTGATGAGACTGCTACATGCTTCTTCCTGTAAACTCTTGCGGCTTATCCATGTGCAAAGTTGTCAGGATCATGAAACCCCTTTCACTGGAATTTTACTGTCCGTGCAGTATCAAGTGAGATGAGACTTTACACAGTTAATCTTCCCAGGCTGATCGCATCTCTTCGAGTTCTCTCTCACTGTCTGCATCCTGGAAATGCAGTAAGAAAATATACAGCCTAATTGAAATAATTAAAAAACAGAATTTCCCTTTTCTTCTCCCATCCCATACGAGGTTTAAAGTATACCCCCAGCCTTACATTCTTCCTCTTAATGCTTTTTCCCCCCCCCTCCTGTACTGCCCTCCCGACACTACTGTCTTTGAAGCCTACTGAAGTTTTCCAAATATCAAAGAGAGTTTCTCTTCTATTTCCTTTTGAGAGATGAGAACTGACAACCAAAACAGCAGAATTCAAACCTCTGCTCCCTCACTGACTTTCATAGCCTGGATAAATGCCTTTGTTTTTCCTTCTCAACATGATGGAAGTTATTTGACTGATGATGAGAACTAACATTTGCAAAGACTTAACAAAGCCACTTAAGCACTGGCTTCCTTATTCGACTCCCACTTTTAATTTCAAAGCAGGAGAGAGAATTAACTGTTCATGAATTCTCTGCCTGTAGCGCTCTCATGGTCTTTCCTGAAAAATCTCAATGCTTTTCTCATTAAACTCTTAAGCCTCCAACACATATATTTCTTGTTCTTTTGGAAAAAACCTCTTCCTAGTTACCAGACATACCGTTCTCTGTCTAGAGAGCTTTCCAACCAGCGTACGGTGAGGAAGCTCCTCATCAGGCAGAGCTCGGATGTCTCCTCCTGGAGAAGGGCACAATCCTGCCCGGTGCCCAGCTCCCCTGGCAGCGGCTGGGCTCTGCAGTGCTGGTGGTAGCACTGCCAAGCCAGCTCCTCGCCAGGCAAGACCTGATTTTGGTTTGACAAGACCTCTTGCATGCTTGTGGCTTGATTCTCAGCACAACACACTTCCGCTACAGCACCCTAAAAACTAATTGCAGCCTTTAAAAGAGAGTGGCGTGAAAACACCGTGTATTTCTATAATTCTGCCTTCCACCCAGAGTGTTTATTCCGTCAGATTAAGGCTGAAGCTGTAAGATCTGGAGGACCTTGCTTAATATTACTTTTCTTACATTTTTCATGATGATGCAAATAACATCAGATTAATATTAAAAGCTGAAGTGTTTTTATTCACTTTCTAACTGGCAGTAATTTGAGGGCACCTTCTATAAAGTTTCTGCTTAACAGGGAAAGTGCAAAGGAAAAGGAAAGTGCGGAAGAGCTCCCAGCTGAGGAACACTGCCACATGGCAGCTTCTAAAATGCAGTACAGTCCACTCTCCAAAAACCCTGCAGAAGTAGTAAAAGAGCTGAAATATCCTAGATATTAAAAATAATAAAAATGCTGGGCAGCACGCACAAACCTGGGAATGGCTCAGTGCAACCATCAGCAGGCTGGGGAGCCCAGGGGCTACGCGCTGGCGGCTCCTCCAAAGCCCCAGAGGAACTGGAAGGGGTAAGGTGGCGCTCCAGCCCTAGCACCGCCACTCAGCTTAAGGGGCTCCCCCCCCAAAGGAAAAAACCTGCCCAAAACTGGGGTGCTGGGACCGCACTGCTGCCGCCCGGCAGCGCCGCAGATACTCCAGCGTGGGAGCTGCGGTGCCGAGCAGGTGCTGGGCGTCCGCAGGCGGCCGGAGCCCGAGCCGGCACGCAGCACGGGCCCTGCCGGGTGCTCTGCTCCGCTCCTAAGCCCCTAGCAGACACACTCCCAACCCCTTTGTGTTTTTCATTATTTTGCTGAATTGCTCTAGGCGTTTGGATAACGGGTCCCATAAGAAAAGAGTCCACGCTAAGGAACAAAATACTTTAAAACCCGAGCTCACAAGCTGGAAAGTCTTTTCAAAATCAATTTTATCTCTGTTAGCCTTTTATCTGTGCTCGTCATCGATCTGCGCTTACTGAGACTGCTACCTCTTTCGTAGTAGCTGGCAGCTCTGAAGCAAGATTCATCCAGAGAACAGCTGCAGTTTTGTTCCCCAAGTCCCTGTAACACTGTGAAATAAAAAATGACAGTGTGAGAAGAGTTAAATTGGATAAAATAGGCAGGAAATGTAACTGAGCAATTATGGACCCTGGCAACTGATAAAAAGAGCTATTTCGACCTCTTAACCATTTGTACTGTATAGTTTCAGGCTTCTGACATTTCCTGCAGGAACTTTCATTCACAAAGCATTACAATCACCGTTAGATTCTGGAATACTAGATTTCCTTTTTTGTTTTGAGCAAGGAGGTTGGTTTTCTGGTTGAAGATTTTAAGGTGCCCCTGTGATTCTCAACGTTTTTGAAGCTCTGTTTTTCTTTTCACTCAGCCACTGTTCCTCACGCCGCTCTCATCGTAAAAACCTCTATTCCAAGAGCACATCGTCTCATGAAGCTTACATTGCCTCGGCTGTTAAACATGAGGTTCAGCTGCAAGCACTGTAACATCGAATATTTACAGGTGTCTCAGGTCTTGCAATAGGTGTGAAATACTCTTCATCGGGAACTCTCCAACAGCAGAAACAGTCATCCCTCTATGTAAAAGGAAGGTTTTCAGTCCCTAGGCAGTCACGGAGGCATTTGGGGACTATGAAATAAGCACAGTAAAAGGAAGCACAGTTGCTAAAAAAACCCCATCAGCAATGCAGTTCATCATTGCTGTGATTGCCATAAAAAGGCAACATTCGGTTAGGATAAGGACAGCAGCTGAAGTCCTGCAGGGCCATTACTTCAGACTCTGAAATGTCACTGCACAGTAGGTGCCTGGGCGTATTCTGGTGATTTTCCTGTGTCATGGGATAGTTCCGTGAGCGCTATCAAATTTCTGTATCTGGTGAATTCAAAATAGATGGAGTCACGGACACCTCAAAGCCTTTGAAAACCCCGTGTCCCTGCATATCAGTCAAAAATGTCAGAAGATGACTATAAAACACAATTCTTTTTTTTCTTTGAAGTGTGACCCATCAGAGCACTATCACCTTCAAAATAATTATACCAATTGAATTTTTAAAATTTTCTGATTAAGGATGTGATCCAGAGTGACAGAGCCTGGGATTAGGGAAAAAAATCCCAAACCAAAATCAACAGATACAATTAGTCCTATTAACCTCTAATTTGTGTTTGCAGAGTATTTCTGAAGCTCATTCACATCTGCCAGACATGTGGTGAACTATTAGCCCCATAAAAACACATCGGCCCACGAGATGGCACACAATGAAACCCAAATTTTCACATTAACTCTGAAAATCTATTCAGGTTAAGACTTGCAGGGATTTGTTGCTGCAACTTCACTGGAAATAAGTTCCAAGTCTTTCATTCTTTACTCTACACAAGACATTTAGGGGTGATTTTGAATTTCCATGAATGCTGGCTATATTTACAAGCAGTGAGAGAAGCAATTAAAAGCACATTCATCATGGTATGTGAGCAGCCAGAAACAAAAGGCTGATTTATGAATACATAGCTGATTTTACCTAATAGACACATGGCTAAATACACACAGTGAGCTGCAATATATCAAAGACAAAATTCAGCTGGTGTGAAGGCTACTACACATCTTGGGTGGGTTTTCCTCCTCTACTATCACCTTCATTTTCCTTTAACGAGATGCTTATTGTGAAATAAATTCTGCACCCAGGTTCCAGAGATAATGTACTCCAGACCAAGCAGATCCTACGACTTGCACGCTACCCTGATAAAATTCACATTCTCTGGGACACTGGGAATTCAGGAATTTCACACAGAATGACTACAGCTACTCTTTGCTACGCCCACTCTGGCTAGTATTTCTAAAGCTATTTGGGCTTTAAATATTTCTAGACTCCAACTGGAGGTTGTAGGAATTAAGCAGCAATTTTAACATTTAAGAGTTCAAAACCAGTTATTCCCTCAACGCAAACAAAAAGATCTCTGGAGCTCCAGCTCCAGGCACTTGCGGTGTATTTAATCATTGCTCAAGACTCCCACCTACATTAGTAAAATGAGAGACATACTTTATCCTTTACTTTTCCACATGATTCTCTTTCAGTATACACCACAGAAATTCATGCTGGTGGTGGGATTAAACCTCCAGCCTGGGGCTTACAAGTTACCACTGCCACTTCATATAGAATTTGATCTGTTAAAAAGCAAGAGGGATGCTCCACTGGATGACTCAAAGGCAAAATCCTCCCTGAATTTTAATGCCTCTGCACTAGATGACTTGGCCTTTTTTAGAAATGTTATCACCGTATAAAATCTTGCTTCTGCATGGAGTAATTTACACGTGCTTAGCACTTTACAGCCAAAGATAATTTTTTAATACAAATATTTCTTACCCTAGAAGCATATGACCGAACTAAAGAAAGCAACAAGTAACTGGTTACCTTGGCAATATATACCCTTCCTGCTTTGGAAAACCCTGGGCTCAGTTCCTCAACCTACAGAGAAAAGAGGGGAGAGAAAAGCAGACATTAGGATATGCAAAGGACACGGTTAATGCTTGCATCAGGCTTATTCAATCTCTTAGGAAAAAAAAAAAAAAAAAGATGACTAAACTCTACTTTTGCAAATACGTAGATCAGTGTAGGAAGTTTTCATAGGCTTGCCTGGCAGGGCAGTCAAGCCCTCAGATGCTCAGGAAGTGCCTGTGACCCAGTGAACAATTCACGCTCTCGCTGCCCGGCGAGGTGGCGAAGTCGAGTGCTCGAGTCGAGGGAAACTCAGAACCAGCTTGACAAACTCCTCCTGCGCCTGTGCGAGCAACTTTTTATCCTCTTTGACCATTCAGTCTCACACATGTGGGCATCTCCCCAGTGTGCTGGTGCCAAACCTCAGGAATCTTCTCCCAGTTCTTCATCCTCTCCTTCCCAGCTACTAATTCCCAGCTTCCTAGTTACTCATATCCCTCTGCCTTCTTCCACTCATCTGTTATAGTCATCACTCTCCAAGCAACTTTGTTCCTATTACGAGCCCTTGGCTTGACCTGTATCCCATCTGCATTCAAACTCCTTGACGTGACGTGCTCTACCGAAATACCTGAGCCCAGACCTCAGAGGAGGCACTGAGGGCACAAGACAGACCACGTTCCTCCTCTTAATCCTGCTGTCTGGCCTCACACCTGGTTCAGTTTGTGACGAAGCCAGAGCTGCAATCTGCCAGCAGATTTCCATTCCCCGATGTCAACTGTGGCTGAAAGCTGAAATGGACTCTGCAGAGCATACGGGAGGTGCACTTGTTCAAGGTATAATTAGCTTCCACAGGGATGTTTTTGTGTCCTTTTAAAATTCTTTCTATATTTGACCAAAGCTAAACCTCAGAAAAATGCAAGTTACCATTTCAAACCACAGCAGCGCTCTAACTTACCAATAAAAGTGACAAGCAATTCTTCTCTCTAATGAAAAGAAACAAACCACTTTCTCTCAAATTTATCTCTGAAATGATTTAACCACTTTGGCTGAAAAATATATCGCCTAGGGCAGATATCTATCACAAACTTCCCTCTCAAACAACTGCATTTTGGCAAAATTACAAGAAATTGAAATAAGTATGATATTCCCTGACACTTTGCAGAACTGCTGGCCCAATCTATGAGTTATAAAGTGGTAGGGCAATTCGTTTCTGAAACACTTCATTAGAGGTGCTTAAGAGTAGTTCTCACAGGCACAGCCAAAGAGAGGCTGTTTAACTCATCTCGTGCAGACCCTTGCAACAAGAGCCAGATGCTCAAAAATGTGACTCAGGCCATGTCTTAAATTCTTTTTCATCAACGGGAGGACTGGAAAAAAAAAAGCTATTCAGAGGGTAGGATTCTTACAACGTAGGAAGCACTCCTAAGAACTTCATTCTAGACATACGTAAGCAATGTGATCCTGAAACCTTAAAGCAGTTGTCTTCAGAAGTTTAAAATGCAGAAGTTTGACCTAATCAGCCTATTAATAAAATATTCTGGGAGAAATTAAAATGACAGAATGTAACTATGCAAACATTCCCAGGGATAAGCTCAAACAGATCTTACAGACCCCGAAAGAGCATAGATCACATGCATTTAGTATTAGGCAATGAATCACTCTACCATGCAGCTTTTAAAAGGAAAACCAAACCCCTTGAAAACAATTCTGAACGCTCTGGGTCTAGTTCTGATGTCTTCAAAATCACATTCTTCTGTCTAGGTATTCTATAACAGAGGGTCCAAAATTTTTGCTTTCACCAGCTTTTCTTCCACAGGTTGTAGTCAATGGAGATGTACCGTGGAGCTCCTGGGGAGCGATGAGTTTAAGCAGAACACAAGCACTCCAGTTCCACACTCGCGATTGCATTTGTCAGGTTAGCTACTCCCCTGCTTATCAGGTTTCATTACCCGTAAGAAGTTCTGCAGGGCGTCCTGGACAGTGGCTGTAGGAGGGGCTTCAAACAACGCAGCAGCAGTCTTTTTTTCAAGCCATCCCAGGTGGGAAACCTGCAGAGACAGTAAGATGGAACCGTCAAACCTGCTAGAGAGACAGCACATGCAAAAGCATACAGAGGAGGAATCACCCAGCTCCTTGTAGCTGGCTCATGCACCTGGGGGAAAGCCAAAGGTCTTGGTAGTGTTGGCAGATTCTGGACAAGTATCCAAGTCCAGCCACAGAATTAAACCTGATTTGCTTTTCCTTGTCCTGAGTCAGCTTTTGCAGTTCCACACACCAGCCGCCACATGCATAAAGCTCGAAGTGAGATTTGTCTCTAACATCTGAGCGTTATGGGCATGTGACAGTGTGGGTGGTCCAAGCCCCCAAACTGCCATGTCACAACCACACCAGCTCCCACCTACGCACGGGGAAAAAGGCACTTACAGAGCCCTCCCCACTCCCACCTCAAACCCTGCCCGAGAACACGTTCTCACCATACAAAGACCCCTCGAGAGAGGCAGGCTAAAGCCTTCCCTCCAACTGATAGTCACATTTTGTGAAATAGATAGCAACTATAACTACTTCACAAAATCTTATTCTCCTGCTCCCAGCTCCTCTCTAATAAGAAACACTCTGAAACGTCAGTGGGGAAATGATGCATAGCACTAACTTCTGATAATATCTCCTCTGTTTAATATTTTGTAATTCTTATAATGCGAGGTGGCAGAAGCACTAACATATTTCTGTACACATCTGGTTTTGTTTCATAGCTTCAGCGGCTCTAAGAGCAGTAAGGCTGAGTAGAAAAGGCCACAAGAGAATATAGAGCTTGGGGTTTCCACTAGTTTAGCTCACTGCTCCTCTGTAATCACCGGTGTCAATTCTCTCAGCTATGATCTCTGCAGTGTGACTTTGTTTTTGACAGCAGAGAAGCACTTCCAAATTGCATAAACTGAGAAGTAGGTAGTTGCTGCAAACTCTCATTTCTTTTTATAGGCACTAAATCTGATTTATGGTATTTGACTCCAAGCTTCTCCCTGTCAAGAAGCATAAAGCAGCCGGCACGCTGCTTCTAATACCTCCAATACTTTGTGTATCAAGGGCAGAGGAAACACATGTAAAGGATTATACAGATATACTGTGTGCAGAAGCTCTTGCCAGCCCCAAAATGCCTTTGATCACATCCATATGTGCTTAAAGGACCGAACGTAGTTTGTTTTTACCGAGTTAAGCACAGGGAACAGTAAGCTAGCTTGCAGCTAGTGCTTTTCCTAATCTATTCTCTGCCATTTCACCTCCCATGCTGCCTGCAGTGACTAAAAAACTAAGTCCAGAGCCCCAAACCATTCAAAGCTCCAATTCAGAGCAGTTCAGAAATAACACTTCTAGCAAACAGCTTTCCTCTGGGAAAGAGACAAAAAGCACTGGAAAAATGAAGAGCAGAATAGTGGCGATAAAGAAATGCATCAACAGCAAATGACATTGCCAATACGAAACTGCACTCTGCATGCTTTCAAAAACTTGAGTGTGTCTTCAGTACCACTAACCTTTCTCTACCTTCTTCTGGCCTTTGGCGGTTAGCACAGAGCAACGTGCTGTTAACAGGCTCAGCCAGCACTTGTCCTGATCACCAACTCAATGTTTCTGCAGTCCCCCTCTCGCTATGGGGGACCTGAACTTACATAAACTCTAATTAAAAAACTGTACCATCTAAAATCTAGTGCTTCAAGTGGTAACACCAGTGTGAAGGTATGCATTCAGGTTCCATAGGAGGAAGGCATGAGGGAGATGGGCTTCCTAAGACTTCTCGATTACAGTTAAGAAAACATCTTAGATGGAAAGCTGAGAGATTCTGAATGAGACACTGTGTCCTGGCAGACATTTCAAGAACACTTTTATAAAAGCACTGAGGTGCTACACATACAAGAACATAAGCTTTTATATCTGAAGAGCTTTCCAAATGCAATGCGTTTATACTATTCATCAGTGGAATGTTTTTCTCTGCACTGTTTCAGGACTGAAATGAAGAGTTTCTAGATCCCACACAAGTGCAACTTTTAAACTACTTCTTCAAGCAACTAGGACATTTCACACCAGTATTTTCTATACAATATCAGAGCTCAGCAACTAAAGAGAGCATCCTCAACCGCTATGGCTGGTGGTCTGAATCCACCTATCTTTTGTTCAAACAGGGAATCAAATTCCAAAAAAGGAGAAAACAACAGTAAGTAGTAATAAACTATTTTACCTGGTAACACCACCTGCCCAGAAGATAGTAAGACTGTGGATCCTCTGGCTTCAGTTCAATTGCTTTATCAATGTGTTCCTATGGAAAATCATCACCAACACATAAGCAAATACATTTTGTCATAAGCAAATACAATATCCACAAGAGCAGGTGAACAAACGTGCAAAGAGGAAAGGATGAAGTCCACTATTTAAGGGTCAGTGATCAGTAAAATTAGAGCTACAAAGAGATTGCAAATTTTCTTAACATACTTTCAGTGAACACAGAAAACCAGCATTTTATCAGCCTGAGACACAAGAATTACTACACACAAAAAAAATCAAGATGCCCTTCATTTTATTCTACCACCGTTTTAGAGCTTTGACATAACGAAATTACTGCTCATGTCAACAGCTGACAAAGTATTACACATGGCCTGTCCTGTAGTAACTGCTCCACGCGCATCCTCTTACCCTGTAACATCCCCACTGTTGATGAAAGGCAAATAAAGGAATCTGAGGCAGATTAAAACCTCTTTGAAAAATAACTGCTTTGCATTTATGGGAGAGTGCAAGCATGCTCACAGGCAGCTATTGAAGAAGAGTTGTGCTGTACCTTATTACCACATGGTAATTTCATGTTTCAAGTTCTCAGTCTCATCATATACATACATTTTATTTTCTGAGATTATACAGTGCAAAGGTGCAGAACCAGACCAGTCACCCTCATCACACATCGCTGGAATCACTGTCCTCAGCCCAAACCACCCACTCAGAGCAGCATCTCTGAGATCTGTCGCTTCCCCAATAGAAGCTGGAGCCAATTTCCTTAACTTGCTAATACAGAAATAAGTATTGCTCAATCTTACGCAAAAGCCAGCACATCCTTTCTACTCACCTTAAAAACATATCCAGTTTGAATGCGCTTCTGAATACTCTCATGTTCTGATAACTGCCCACAAAGAATAGCGTACCTACACAGAGGAGACACTTGCATGAAATCAGTCAGTTGTAAATATACATTCACATTCTGTTGGTATCTTCAGAAGGAAGATATATAAATGCATTTAAGCTTCACAACTTCCTGGGGGAAACAAGGAATACTGTACATCTTTTACAAGGAAGAGTCATATGCAGTAAAAATTTAGTGCAGAAGCAGCTACTGGCTTGAAGGATGCTGGCAAGTCAACAGGAGTGGCCTGATGAAACATGGAAGTTCACGGCACTGATGGCTGGAAAGCATTCCTTCTACATAAACACTTCTACATCCTGAATGTCTTCACTCAGCAACAAAACTGTGTCAAAACACAGAGTGATGAGGAGTAAACACTACTGCAGCAAGAGCTAGAACTACAAAAAGCTCTAATTAACTCAGGCACACTGCGATCTTCCATACGCAACGCACCGCGGTTGTCTACTTTGAGGGAAAAATATTGTGGAAACCTACCTACATCCTGCAGCCCCACATGGCCACCAAACTTGGGAAACAAAATAACAAGTCTTCAGTGTTGCAAGTGCAAAGCCATTTAGTTTTGTCTGGTTAAGAGACAGTAAATTTTGACCCCCAGAAGCACAGTGCCTAGCAAAATCAGTTATTTCATGGGCTGCAAAAGCTAAGGAAGGTTCATTACCCACGGATTCGCACTCTCCCATCTCACCTGCTCACACCACAGCAGTTCAAACCCCCTCCCTCCCTGCATTGCTTCCCAAGAAACAACAAATCAGAGGCATGCAAGGGCAGCGCTGCCGAACAGAACACACGAGTTGAAGCTTCAGCCACGCTTGCTCAGTCTCTGGCCTCTGCCATTCCGTCGAGGGGAGAGCTGTGGGGCTGGAAGAGGCTTCTCCCCTCCTCTGAGTCTGGCTCAGAAAACATTAGGTGGAATGGATGGACAAATGACTCACACAGGTCCTCTTCTTTCAAAAAATAAAGCTGAAAAGAAGGAAGATGGATGCAAACCTCCCTTGAGATTTCTTTTACTACAGCCACATCCCAGGGTTGCTGGATGCTCTGCCTTATCTTGCCACGCAACATCCCAGCGCGTCCCCGGTGACAGCTAACCACAGCAGATGTTCGTGCAGGAATCTGTCGGAAGACTCGTGAATCTCCAAGTACACTTCCTTCAGTGTCATGAAAAAACCCACAAAACATTTCACACCTCATTGCTCTTGCCTGAACTAAATTTTCAGTGTGGAAGTTATGATACAAAGGAGTCGTGCCTTCTGAATGTTTTGTCATTAACTCTCATTCCTTTAACATGTTAGTTTTCTTGTGAAAAACTCTGCTTCAGTTCTAAAATTCTTATTTTTCACGATAATGGAAAAGATTACCAGATTAATGTCTTAATTGGGTAAAATCCTTTTCCCCAGTTGAAAAAGTTCACAGCTGCCTTGCCATAATCTGTCACTTGCCAACAATGAAGTGAGTGTTTTTATGATCTTCTCCAGTTTGTTTCACAACAAACATCAGCCTGTGCTAAATCACCCTAACCACAACATAACTAGGGTTTAGACATACAAGCCAATAAAAGGCTTATTTTCTAAGATCACAAGATAAAATATTCCTATACAATCAATCATCTAGCCTGTAAGCCCTGCCTAATGTACAGGACTTTGCCAGAATATAGCTCCTACGACCATATTGTTTAGGCTCCTGAATACGTGGCAGGCATTAAATACAATTAGGCCAAGTTTAAGGTTTTGCAGCAAAACAGGGCAACACCATGCCTTTTTAAAATGGAAGCTAAAACACTGAATAACCTCCCTCTATACTAGCCCATCCTTCCCCAGGGAAGGCCCAACAAGCCCCTTCAAAGCAGCAATAAATCCGATGGGACACCAAGCTAGCTCAGTCTGATCCTTCCACCACCAACCACAAAAACATCAAGTGGTAGATAGGCAGCTGTCAAGAAACCTAAATGCCAGATATTTTTTAACAGCCTGGTGAACGTTACTGAAAATAAGCAGCAAAGAGTAGTTCTATCTGTGTCATGAAATGAACAAAACACCCCAAACCAACCAACCAAATGAAAAGATAATAGATGCCTGAATCCTTTTTTCGCTGCAGCCCCAGGAGAAGATGGCTCTACCCGAGCCAGCTTTGCTGGTCCGAGCCCTTTGCATGAACCTTCCTCAGCAACTTGTGCCTCGAGGTCCAGGGCCACCAGCCTGTCAGTGCTTTTCATACACCAGCCTTTGCAGTTCTGAGATTTTAGGCTCTGGCCTGACTTCCCTTCCCCACTCGGCAGCGCCAACGTGGTTTTCTGCTTTTTTATCTCTGCTGCTTGTTTAGCTTGGCTTGTTGGAGCTATTTATTCTAGTTCATTTTGTGAAATGCCTTGGGATCAATGTCACATGAGGCACTGTTGAGTTGCAGAAGGACTGACTAGCAGTAATAGGATAGATTAAAAATAAATGAGTTAGGGAAGGGGATTTTCATCTTCTGTAAACAATATATAACCTCTGAAGCACTGTTCAGATCGATGCCTCAGCAGTTACCGAAACCTTGTATTATGATACCACTCAACTAATTATTAACCAGAACTACTCATGAAGCTGCTGACACTGGTCAAACTGCAAGTTCCCATAGGAATCTCAGCTCAGTAAGGATTTCCCCATTTATTAGAAAATAAACTCTGTGGAAGCAGATACTACCAGATGAGAGCCCATCTGTTCTCCCAGCTTAAATCCCCGAGCTCAGAACATGCAGCTTTGAAGAAACTTCATTTTTGATGCTGCACTCTGGCTGACTCCCATCAAAGCAAGACTTCTGGCCTCTGAACACAAAACACACAGCTCTGCGCAGCCCAGCACCTCCCGCTCCATGGCCAGGGTGGTTTGCCAACCCAAATACATCTCTTATCTCTTTTAACTGTTTCAAAGACTCATTAGCTGAGCATGCCAGTGCTCCTTTCTGCATAAGACAATCAGTAAATTAAAAAGAAACAGCAAGGCAAAGGGGAATAAAAGGAGAAGGGGAAAGAAATGGGGAGAAGCAGTTACTTTGCAGCCAAGCGATAAAAGTGAAATAAAGTGTGTTTTATATTGCCAAAGAGGAGTCAAACATGAAGTCTGACCACTGACAACAGCACAAAGACATGGAAGTTCTTTCCTTTTATTGACATCACAATTTGCTTCATACGTATTTAACCAATTTTTCATCACAATGCCCAACAAATTAATGATATATTCTCTATGCACAACCTAGTTTCTGCATTAACTTTCCAGGGCCCACGGGCCAGCCCAGTACCAGTAACTGCTGCGTTACTTTGTAGGAAGTCATGTCACTGCTGTGCTCACCGCTGGCCATATGCCTTCCCAGATAAGGGTAAGAATTCATCAGGAGCTTTGCTGCCTTGGCATAGGAGATAAAAGCTCGGTCCAAGGACTAAAAAGCCAAGATTTATGCAGAGATAGCAAATCTATACGTACCAACTAGTTGAAAAGGATACTTGATGGCATGTATGCTAGAGATTTATTGTGGTCTGGATTAAAGCAACACTTATTTTCTACTGTCACTGTCTCAATTTTCCATGGGACTGGTTACACAAAATATTTAAACAGCTAGCAGTTCATGGTGACGTTTGTAGTTGGCTCCTGTTAAGAGAATATTCTTTCTCTCCTTACATGTAATTTTCCAGCAACGGCCACACAAACTCCGCTTATTTTCTCTGAAGTGAAACATGGCAGTTGCACAGATAAGAATGTAGAAGGGCAAGCACATAATGCCACTTCCTCCGAGTATTCATCCAGCCTCCATCTGACCAGGTATTGTCTGAATTTTGATTTCCACATCCATTTGCTTTTTGAACCCACATAAGCCTTCAACAGTTGCCACAACTGGGGCACGGCATTCTGCAGTTTAACTGTGTGCATGACACTTTTGTTTAAGCCTGATACAAAACATTTCCTCTCGTTTGAGCCTGATGCTTAGCAACTTCAGCTGATGCCATCTAGTTCTTGCTTTGGAAGAAAGCATTCCCACTTCACCCTCTCCGTGCCACCTGATTTACAGATAAGCTATATTCCTCTCAGTTACCTTTCTTCCAGCCTGACAAGTCTTAAATCTATTAACTAATTCTATTTGCAAAAGCTGTTCTGTGCTTTTGATCTCCCTTGTCACACACCTCTGGTAATGCTGCAGTTTTAAAATACCTTTTCAGAGAAGGCAAGGATGGATTTGCACAGCTTTTAATGAGATTATGTTCATCATATTCCCATTTCACACAACTCTCCTGTTTTCAAGCAAAAAAATACTCATCACAGTTCATCCTAAAATGTAGGTGCAAAGATCTGTAAAACTAACTAGTCCACAGATACTTACCGACACAAGTTTTTAATCACTTGAATATGACTGAGACCACTTAAGCACTTACCAGTTCAGTTGCAGACCATCAGCTCTGGTGAAACAACTAACCTGACAGCTTTCTGCATGCAAATTCCCCTTAGCAAGTTTTAAAACTGCATAATGCTAATTAAGTTGACTAATATGTGGCTTAAGAAAAAAAAAAAAACAGTATGCATATACACTTCCTAAAGCCACAGACTTGTGTCTGCAGGTTGTTGGAGTTTTTTTACTAGTATAATTATTTTACTTCCATGTGTGAACTTTTCTCTCAATACACCATAAATTAAACGGTGCATCTCCTAATCTAGAGACTGATATATTGATTTGAAATGCAGATATGTACACATGTACGCCTAGTGAGAAAGTGGGGAGAAAAAATAATCTAATTTCTTAAAATGCCCACAGGCTCTCTCCAAACCTTTTAAGTAGCTGTCCTCTATCACATGCTTGCACAACTTGGTGGAAAAAGTAACCGAATACATTGTTCTAGTTGAAGTGATATGGCAACTGGGAGCACAACTATGCCAAAAGCTCTCTGTAGGCCTCTCGTGACTGCCCCGGATGATCGTTTGGGAACAACTTCAGCACTGCACACAACTGCAGGAGACCTCCTCCGAGTTTGACTCA